GCCCACTGCAGCCCCAGAGGGGGATGAAGCCCCTGTGCCCGACGGGCACTGACCTTCCCAGTGCTGCGGCAGAGCCCGCAGGCAGCGTTGGTAGGGAGATTCCCGRTGGCCCGGGTGAGGGATTTGGGGCTCACAGGAGCCAGCACAGACAGGGCAGTGCTGGGGGATGTGCCTGCCTCTGGGCAGCCCCGCTCCCTGGCAGGGCACGGCAGCCTCTCGCTGCCAGCCCAGCTCCCACAGCTCCCAGCTGAGGCCTCGTGCCCCAGCCGTGTTCATCCCTTCCCTGTCAGGGAGCAGAACGGCACCAAGGCCGAGCAGGTCTTTGCCGAGGTGGCCAAGGTGATTGGGGAGTACCCTGTGGACTTCCGTGGAGCTCGGATCCTGACGGGCACAGAGGAGGGCTCCTTCGGCTGGATCACCGTCAACTACCTGCTGGAGACACTCGTCAAGGTGTGAGCTGGGGGAGAGGGAGGGGAGGGCTGAGCACTGAAAATATCCCTGTCCCAGTGACAGCCAGGGTTCTTTGTTCCAGAGGAGAGAAGGATGTAGTTTTAGGGCACTGGTCCCCCCATAAATCTCACCTGTGGTCGTGGGCTGCAGATCCAACCCCAGTGACGTGATGAACAGAATCTTTGTGTCCAGCTCAGCCCAGCCCTGTGCTCTCCGCTGACACAGGGGTGGATTTTGGTACCACAGGGGTGCAGCGGTACCAGGTTCCAGATGAAAGTGTTCCTTTTTGCCTTCTCGAAGTCTCTGGTTCCCAGAAACAAGGGGCCAGATCTCAGAGCTCCCTGGAAGTTTCTGTGGGTTGAGGAGGATGTGGGCAGGGGGGGTAAAACAGGGAGACAGGACATGGAAGGTCCCTCTGGGGCTTCTGAGCCCAAAAGCCATGAGGGTTTTCCCAGGGACTGGGAGTCCCTCCCGTTCAGACTAACACGTGCTGTCTCTTGGGCCAGTTTTCCTTTGCAGAGAAATGGGAACATCCAGAGGACACCGAGGTTCTGGGAGCTCTGGACCTTGGAGGTGCCTCGACACAAATAACCTTCCAGCCCGGAGTGCCCGTGGAGGACAGGAACACCTCGGTCTTCTTCCGCCTGTACGGCACCAACTACTCTCTCTACAGCCACAGCTACCTGTGCTACGGGCAGACACAGGCCCTGAAGATGCTGCTGGCAGCTCTGCACCAGGTACCACAGCCTGGGGCCTCAGGATGTGCTCAGCCATCCCCCACTGCCACGAAAGGTGTCTCCCAGGAACGCTGGGCATGCCTGTGGATAAAGTGTTAGGGAACTGGGAGAGCTTGAGATTTTATCTATGGAAGCAAAGAATTCCTTCCTTTGGGTGGAAGATGGGGTGGTTCCCCGCCAGGGCTCCCTTCTCCCCAGATCTGGATGTGTAATAGCATTTTTTGTCATTTCCCAAGCCCAGCTGTATCCGTAGGTTTTCCCTGTCCATATTCTCTCCCCCTTGCTCAATTTGTGCCCGAGAGAGGATTCCCAACACAGTCCCCACGCTGCTCCAGCACTGTGCAGTGTCCTCCTGCCTGCCCTGGGCCCGAGCGCTCAGTGCCCTGGGAGGCAGGGATGCTCAGGAAGCACAGAGTCGAGATCCATCCTTGGTCCTCCCTGGGCCAGGGCCTGCAGGGTGCAGTGGGGACGGAGCGAGTGCCCAGAGCACCAAGCTCTCCGTGCGGGCAGAGCACCAGCACTGCCCTGGGGAGCAGGTGCCACTGCTGGGGGTGGCAGTGCCATCGTCCCCCCGGCACGGCTCAGTGGTGGGGGGACAGGGAGAGCCGTGGGCAGGTTAGTCGTGCACAGGAGGGATCCTGCTTCTCCTCAGATCCTCCTGGGGTCTAGGTGCTGCTTTTTGGGCTGGGCTGCGGGTGGGGTCTCCCTGGCATCCCACGCCAAGCCCCACTGATGGCTCCCTCTCTCTCCAGGACAGCGTGACTGCCCAGATCTCACACCCCTGCTACCCCATGGGGTACCAGGAGAATGTCACCGTGGCAGAGCTCTACGACAGCCCGTGTGTGCGTGCCCCCAGCACAGCCAGCCCTGCCCAGGTGCTGACGGTGACGGGCACAGGGGACCCAGCCAGGTGCATCACGGCCGTGCAGAAACTCTTCAACTTCAGCTGCGGGGCCCAGAGGCCGTGCGGGTTCAACGGGGTGTACCAGCCCCCCGTGCGGGGACAGTTCTTTGTAAGGAGCCTCCGTCCCTGTGTTTGGAGGGGAAGGGGGTAGAGAGAGGGTGGGAGCCTCCTCTGCCACCGGTTGTGGGAATGGGTGGGGACAGAGGCGACCCCAGAGCTGGTCCCATCTGCAAACCTTTGCTCCTATACCAGTAGATGGCTTTTGCCTCCTGAGGGAAATGGGAAGGCCTTGTCCAAGGGAAGAAAACTGAGCTAGCTCAGAATGCAAGCACCAGCTCCATGGCTTGTCAGCCAGCTCCAAGACTTTCTGGTCGACCATCAAGTGGGTGCTGGATGCAGAAACCTGGGAATTACATGGAACTCTGTCCATAGGCAAGAGGGGCCCCTGGGTGATGAAGGAGATGTGGTTTTTACCAGCTTCCCTTATCCCCCAGGCCTTTGCTGGGTTCTACTACACCTTTCACTTCCTGAACCTGACCAGCCAGCAGTCTCTGAATGATGTCAACACCACAATCCTGGCCTTCTGCAAGAGGAACTGGTCAGAGGTGAGAGCCCTGTGCAGGGCAGCCAGGAGCCCTGTGCTTTTCCTATCCCAAATCTGTCCCCAGGGAACACATGTCCCGCTGTTCCCAGGGCTAGGGAGTGTTTCTGAGCATGTGTTTCATTCCCTGTTGCCCTGTGCCCCACAGCTGGAGCGGACCTTCCCGCAGGACAAGAAGTACCTGCACACGTACTGCTCCGCAGCCATTTACATCCTGACGCTGCTGCTCGATGGCTTCAAGTTCAATGAGCACACCTGGAGCAACATCCACTTCAGCCAGCAGGTAAACACACCTGTGGGCAGCCACAGCCTCAGCCTTGCCCTGGGCATGTCCAAGAGCAGCATCTCTGGAGTCTCCTGTGCCAGAAATGTGTCCGTTTCATGGCCCCTCCCCAGCAATCCCAGCAGAGCTTCATTCTTTCTTACTGCTCCCAAATCTCTGACCCCACTCCTTTCTCACTTTCTCTGGTGTGAACTTAACTCATTTTAAGGGGATCAGGGAAGTGCAGAGTAGGATTTGCCCACTTTGGTCTCTGATGTTCTCATCACAGAGGTGATGGTGGCCGATGACCCATTTGAACCAGAGTATGGCCAGGCCACGATATTTCCAGGATGAGAGAAAACAGCCTCAGGTTGTGCCAGGGGAGGCTTATGTTAGCTTTTGGGAATTTTTTTTCACAGAAAGGGTGGTCAGGCATTAGCACAGCTGCCCAGGGCAGTGGTGGAGTCACCATCCCTGGAAGTGTTAAAAAAACTTGTGATGTAGCTCTTGGGGTCATGGCTTAGTGGTGAACGTGGTGGTGGTGCTGGGTCGATGGTTGGACTCAATGACCTTAAAGGTCTTTTCCAACCTTAACAATACTATGGCCAGATCAGGAGGATTATGGGGAAGGAGGATAGCTCAGATCCAAAATCCTGTGCAGGTCACAGAGGCACAGCTGGATCAGAGCCATCATCCATGTTCAGCTGCCCCTTATCACTGGGGAAGGGGGGACAGGAAAGCTGCTGGCAGGATCAGGTTCACCAAGGGCAGGGCCACCCGTGCAATGGCAGCTGGGGCAGCCCCCAGGAGAGATGCCTGCCAGTCCCCTGCACCAAAGCTACTGGTGCCTGGGACAGGTACTTTAGGGTGGTCCCCTCTGCTCTGTCCCTGCAGGCAGCACACACAGACATCGGCTGGACACTGGGCTTCATGCTGAACTTCACCAACATGATCCCTGCAGAGCCTCTGGAACTCGTCAAGGGCCACCAGCCTGGGCTGTGGGCAGGGGCTGTCTCCTTCATCGTGTTGGCCCTTGTGACAGGCCTGGTGGCTGCTTTCCTCCTGTGTTTCTGGAAAACCAAGTAGCTCCCAGCCTCCTGACTCCAGGCATCCTGCCCACTAACCCAGGCAAGGAAGTGGTGCAGAAGAGGTGGAAGGAGGAGAAGAATGAGGGCATTAGACCCATCTCCATTGCTCCGGAGATCTGACTGGGTCATCTCTGTGAATGTGTAAGATTACAAAGTTGTCTTGATCTCTCTGAACCTCCAAGAGGAAAAGACTCCTTTAATCTGACTGCCAAAAGCTGACTGAGACTTGGTGGCTGGATGAAGCCAGATGAATTCAAACTAGAAATAAAATCTGTTTTGTTTTTCAAATATGAATGTCATTGCCCAGCCTAGCACAGTTTCCTTGGCACTGCCAGTCCTGCTGGGCTGCTCTCTTAACAGCCCTGGGAGGCAAGAGATGGAGAGCCATGGTGGGCATCTAACTCTGAGGAGAGGGATGACATCATCTGTATCCTGCCCTGTGCAAGATGTGCAATATTTTTGTAGTATGTGACAGATGATCATCTCCAAAGACACTGTCAGCTGTATTTAAAAGTATTTACTGGCCTATCTCAGCAGAAAATCACAAGTGGAAGTTGATTTAAGAGTTGCCAACTCTGGCTCAGGGTTTATTTTATATTCAAGTTACACAGCCCAGCTTTGTCAAACTCCAAATCCAGAAAGGGTTCCAGCTCCAGACACTTGAGTGTTTTATTTAGATCAGCAAAGCCCAGCCCAGCTCAGCTGCAGGAACTCAGCAGCCCTTTCAGTCCCTGCAGCACCAGTCAGTGCTGCACTTCCCAGCCCTCTCCCCAGTGCCTCCAGGGCTCTCCCATAGCCTGGAACTGCTCTGAGCAGTGCAGGCTTCTGCAATTCCCTCTCCTCTGTGCTGCAACACCCCACCTTGGACTTGGGGCTTAAGGAAAGAATCAAAGGCATCTGGGCTGAAGAATGGTCAGATCACAAGGTGGAAGCATGGTGATCCTAACCCACGGTGTTATCCCATTAACCCCTCTGCAAACTGGTCCCAAAAGCCTTCTGAAGGAGCAGCGTCTCTGCTGCATCTCTGCTGGTGGAGATAAGGTTGTGTGACACGAGAGCCCGGGGAACAGGGCTCTGCCTCCTGCTCCCAGGCAGCCATCCTTGGCTTTGTTAGAGTGAGGCTCAGCTTTCCCAGCCCGAATGTGAGCAACAGGGGAGAGGGGATGAAGACCTTCACCCAGAGGAACCTCTTCCCACCCAGAGGAACATCTTCCCAGCCCAGAGGTCTGAGCTGCCACATGGACAACTCCCACAGCCAAACAGCAGATCCCTCTCTCTGCTCTGCACAGGCACATCTTTGGCAGTGTAAGCACAAGGTCTGGGGACAGGCTGTAGGAAATGCTGTCAGACTGCTGGAACTGACCCCATGGGATCTGGGAGCAGGAGATATCCCTTATCCAGGTTCAGCAGAGCCCCTGGCTGGCTGGGGCCTGAATGAGCTGGGATTGGTGTTTCCCATTCCTGGGAGTGCAGTTGAGCAGGAAAAGGCTCCTGTTTGCTATAGGAAGGCAGCACCACAGCTGGTCTGGGTGGCAAAGCATTTGGGGAAGATGCCAGTCTTGCCATTGCAGCATCCTTCCAGCCAGTCCTCGTTCACTGGGAAAACACAAAGGAGTAGGATGAGTCCTGGCCCATACAAGTGGGGTTACTGAGAGTTTTCATGGCTGGAATTTAACTCTGGACAAAACCCAGTGCAAGCCTGTCACTCCTGAGAGTATGAGCCTGAGACAATATGGGAGAGGCCCTGTATTCCCAGTCCCTCCCTGCAGCAGACTCCAAAAGCCTGTCCCAGGACAACCTGCAGCAGGACTGGAGAGCTACCTTCAGAAAGGATATCCAGCACATCTCCCTTGCTGAACTCCAGGTCTCCTGGTCCCTGTGCCAGGTAAGAGTGTTGAGCCAGCATCCGGTACAGAACAGGTCTGCCCGAGTGGGAGTCTGAGTCCTGCAGGAAAAGCCAGCATGGAGATTGCAAGGCAAAGCAGAGACTGGAGCCCAGCACAGCAGAGACACTTGTCACAGCCCCTGTACCTGGCAGTAGAGTGTCACCCTGCCATCTGTCAGCTGCTGCCACATCCTCCCCAGATCCTCCTCTCCCAAGACTGTCCCCAGCTCCGTGCCATCCGGGTGCCTGTAGCTGCAAGAGTTTGTTAATGCGGCACAAATCATCTCATTTAAATCCAGCCTTTGAGAAAAGCCCAGCCCTCTGCCACCCTCAGCCTTCACAGTCCCCTTTGCAGGCCAGCTCTGAGCTTATCACCTTGCACAGTGACATGGGGCCACCCCACATGCTCAGCAGAAATGACACTGTGGGGAGTGACACTGTCACCTCCTCACACACTGACTTGAGGGCAAGATCCTAAACTCTCCTGGCTCCACTGACTGTGTCCCAGGGGTGTCACAGTCAGGGAGATTTCACCCCAGGACCTGACTCCCAGATTGCTCTGCACTGATCCAAGTTACTGCAAAGGCTGAGCCGAGCAGGAGAAAATCCAATATACAGCAACTGCATCTACACAGTTTTTCCTTCTGTCCCCCCTTTCTCTTGACATGTACTGTTTTCTGGGAAAGATCCTTTTGGGCGTACAAAGCCCATATATCACAGAGTCATAGAATGGTTTGGGTTGGAAGGGACCTTAAGGACCATTCACTTCCAACCCCCCTGCCATGGGCAGGGAATCTTTCACTATCCCAGGTTGCTCCAAGCCCCATCCAACCTGGCCTTGGACACTTCCAGGGCTGAGGAGTTCACAACTTTTCTGGGCAACCTGTGCCAGGACCTCACCACCCTTATAGTAAAGAATTTATTCCTAATATCTAATCTAACCCTGCCCTCCTTCATCTTAAGGCCATTCCCCCCTGTCCTGTCCATCGAGGCCCTTGTCCAAAGTCCCCTTCCAGCTCTCTTGGAGCCCCTTTATGTCCTGGAAGGGGGCTTACAGTAGGAACAGTGTGTTATCCTCCATGGAGCAAGAGCCATGGTAAGGTTTGTGTGCAAGGCAGACTGTGCTCACACCTTTGCTGGATCCCTGCTGGAATGCCTCAGCCCTGGATAAATGTCCCCGGGAGACCAGACACAGCGTGGCTGTGTCCTCAGGGGGATGGGTGCCTGCTGCCCCATCTCTGTCTCACACCCCCCATACCTCAGGGTGCCCCGCTGTGCCTGCTGCCCCATCTCTCACCCCCCAT